GCGCCCACCCCGGCACTGACCCCTGCCCCCGCCCCGAGCCCCGCTGTCGCGCCCCCACTGCTCCAAGGGTCTGGTTGGATGTTCTTCCCCGGACCGAGCTCAGTGGGTTGGAGGACTGGCAGGCTGTCATGTAGGATTTTTGATAGGTATAAAAATTGAGGTGTGTTCAGAGGCAGTCACACTTTATCATACAGCCGAGTAGTCAGGGTTATCCCTCCTGCCAGCGGCGACACGGCTTAGAGTGAGGCGTTCGGGTTTATCGCCTGCACCTGACCCCGAATAAAGGATAGACTTAAGGTCAGCAGAGTCCCTATCATTCAGGAGTCCTTTAAGCTGCCTTGAGTGTAACCTGCATAAAATAAGGAGGAAAAATAGCATGCATCATAGAGCAATTGACACTGACAAAATGAGAAGACCAGAAACCAGACTCTGCAAGAGTATGACCAGAGATATGAGACTGAAGAGTAGTACACAGAGTATGCAGGGAGCAGCCATTGGAGGGCTGCAGTCACTAACAAATAATAATGTCGTAATACATCAATAGTGACTGAAAAGAGAGAACCTCAATCAATGATAATAAGCGGTACCCCCTCGTGAGTGAGTGATGCCGTCTGGGACTCCTCGTCATTGAAAACTCGAGTGGCTATAGACTCTGGAACCACATAGCTGATCTCGAAAGGCGCTGCTGGATCAATCTTGCAGATATAGGCCATGCATCTGGCCATCTCCTCGTGTGCGACGCTCCTAAGATAAAGATCCTCCGCAAGGATGATATCGCCTGAAGCTCCAATCAATATCTCAATACGTCCTTTCCCACCAGAGTAAATGTAGGAAACCTCGAGAAAGCGATCTCCGTAAAGAGGCTTTCGATAAGCCTGCATAGCAAAGTCCRTCCCGACCAAATGACTATAGYCATCYCCAAGGTATGGGACCGGACCCTCCCCTCTTGGGGGACCAATAACTGTCTCAGACCCAGGGTCRWCTGACATGTAGGAGTCAATCACCCTCAAGAAGATACCGTGCAAGAAGATGTGCGATCCTCCTCAATGTCGCCCTCCGACGTCTCCGCTCACTGGTCTCCAACGCTCCTGTTGCTGTCCACAAACTCAACCCCTATGAGTGTCCAAGTCGAAATAATCGCCAAGATCAAGGTCACTCATAGAACAGGGCTCCAAATCTGACTCATCTGTCTCTGATTTCGGGACACATGTAGTGATTGGGATTCCGGATCTGGTTCTCTCTCTGTGGATCCGGTCGTCCTTCCGCCTCTTCTCCTTGCTGCGGGGCTCACTAAGGGGCTTGGGGTTGCATCCGTCAAAATCGAAGAGCACACCCCCAGGAGCTGAAGGTACGCGAGGGAACACCACGTGCAGCCAGTTGTCCCTCCAATAGCTCTCCCTGCGAAATATGTAATCTGCAATCCTGCCGTATGTGGTGCCCTTCACTCCCGTCTCTGCCCCCTTCACCGAGTAGGTGATCACGAGCGTGTGTCTCGAGGTCGAGGACTCATTAGCCCTGATAGTGAAACTCTGATGTCCCGCATGTCTGTAGCAGAACCTCTCAATCAATCTACCCCACTTAGGGGTAGTCTCACGACGTCGGGCCAGCTTGGATGGAATGCACGCTCTCACTGATGCAGATACTCCCTCCAAGTCCTGGCCGGATAGCAATCAGCAACTCGATGTGGAGGCCTGTCTGAACGGCCTGACTGAACTGCAACTCGATATGGGGCCCGCCTGAATGGGCCCGCCTGAACAGCAACTCAATATAAAGCCCGCCTGAATGGGCCCGACTGAACAGCAACTATCTCAAAAGAAAGGGTCCGCCTCAAGGGGCCCGGCTGAAAAGCTGCAACAATCTCGAGAGGTGGGCCCGCCTGAAGGGGCCCGGGCGAATCATCAACTCAATCTCAAGTAGGCCCGCCTGAAGGGCCCGGCTGATCAACAACAATCTCTAGTAGTGGGCCCGCCTGAAGGGGCCCGCAACTGATCAGTAGAACATCTCATGCACAGGGACCAGTCGTAAATGCTGAATGTACTGGGGCTAGACTGAGCCAGATCATCTGTGCAGGGACTGGAATGCCAATGTGCGAGGGAAAGAATCACGTGCATGAGGTGATGCTGATCAGCGAGGAAATAAATCAACGGGAGCGTGATGGTAAGTCATCCCAGCTAGCAATCCTATGCTCGGGCATACATGGGCTCGCACTCAAACGACTATATCTAGCCTGGGCGCACACATATCCAGCGCAAGTGCACATGGCCGCGCACTCAAATAACTATATCTAGCCTGGGCGCACACATATCCAGCGCAA